ATGAGTCCACATGATAAACAGTAGCCCTATAAGCTAAGGAAACTGTCTTCTACTGAATGGAAAATTGACTGCCTTTCAAATCCCAATTCATAAGTGAAATGGAAAGCAAACTTCTTTTCTTGAGTAGTAGTCTCACTGTCAGGCAATTCAGATCATTTGGATCAATTTCACACACATGCCAATGACAGGGGGTAAGGACCCAAAGCTTATTAAAAAGAGCAATTACCATCAAGTGCTCTCTGCAGTTGCCACTCAGACAGGCATTGACACTCTGGGACCCTGGTGGTTGCAAGGAGGAGAAAAAGATCAATGAAACTGAATAGGTTTCTTAAATGGATGCAGGGCCGAGTAATGCAAGAATGCTTACAGACTGAACACTGACCCTATAGGAAGAAAAAGTTGATTGCCACAGATTGATTCATTCAACCTGTGGCAAAAGAGGAGAGAAGGACATAGAAGAGTGACATTTGAACAGTCTCCTGAGGAGCACAGATGCCACGGACACTTCCAGAAACTACCTTCCAGACAAGTTTCTGTAAGAAATTCCAAAGAGGCGGGGCAGCTAGGTGGTGCAGGGGATAGAGCACCGGCTCTGGAGTTAGCAGGACCTGAGTTCAAATCCATCCTCAGACATAACACTAGCTCTGTGACTCTGGGTAAGTCACTTAACCCCAACCGCCTTGCAAAAAAAAAATTCCAAAGAAAATGGGAGGCCAAGCACAAGATGTACCCCAAAGAAATAGGAGACATCCCTGCGAATCTCTAACCAATCAATAAACGTTTATTAAGGGCCTACCCTTTGCCAGATGCCATTGTTTAATACTGCAGCTCCAACAGATTCAAGGGTCTAGGAGAAAGCGCAGCAGGTGGCAAACTCTTGACATTCAGGGGATACATCCAGGAGGTTATATTACAAATAAGATTTTTTCACAACCAGTTTTTGGCTCAGAAGATAACAGCCAAAACTAACAAGCCAAGAATTATCCTTACCTGTTAAATGTGGCTGGATTTTGCCTTCTGTCTGGATCCTCTGGAATCTATTTTTTGAGTAGGAACTTGTTTATCAATAGCCTACTATGTACCAGGTGCTTTGCTATGTGCTGGTGATAGAAATACAAAGAGTGAATTCCCTGAGATTTCATCTTAGGGACAATTTTCTTATAGGCAAAACCAACCAAATAACAATATCCTTTGGCAAAGTTTATATTCAACCATCCTGTACCGCCAACTGCTGCTGAAACCTTCTTTTGTGCCATTTCCCAAAACCCTTTCATCATTCCTTCTCATAAAGCACTTGGTATTTTCATGTTATTCTGGTTTCTTCTGTTATGGAAAAAAAAATGATCAGATAGATTCATTCATACTTTAGAATTTGTGACTTAAAGTATTATACATCTCAGTTATTTGCATATTCAGGGAAATCAATGCTTCATATAAAGGAGAGGAAATGGGAAAGGAATCTTGAATTACGAACCTAAAATTTGGCTTCTAGTCTTGGCTGTTTGGTTAACATGTCACCTTAAAAAGTTGTACCGTATCTTATCTTAACTTAGTGTTTTTATTTATAAAATGGGGAATTTGACAACATGATGTTTAAGGTTCTGTGACCCTATGAGTCAGTGGTAGTAGGATCTTCTGGTCTAAATGGAGGGATGTTTGTAGGTGGAGCCTACCAGGTGGGCCTCAAACCACACCACTCCAGGAACCATGTAACTGTGTAATTGAAAGATCAAGTGTGAGCCAGAAAAAACTGGTTTTTAGCTGCATTGCCACTTCCACTGGGGAGTTGCTGAGAAAGGATGGACATTTATTCTGAGACCTTTACATAGCAAGCATACTTAACGCCTGTTTTCCTCTTCCTTCCCATGTCTCCTCGCCACTGAGTGGGAACAATATTGGTTCCAGTTAGAGATTGAGGCCCATTGGAGGTGGATTTGTTGAAACAGAAAACACTTCTTATGGAGATTGTGCTACTATCAATAGCTAATCCCTTTTCATGAAGCCAGGACCATAAAATGCAGAGCTAAAATTTCAATGAAGCCAGTGTTTGGGACTTTACACCATTTGACCTTGCTAATCAGTAGATCTCCTCCAAAGGTACTTGGGCTACCAAGCTGTTTTTAAGAAAGCACTGACCTAAGAAGCCTCAGAAATCAGCTCTGAGAGCCATGGTGCACAATCATGATAAGGAGCTCTTTTTCGGTGACCTGATTTGTATCGACAAAGTGAGCTACAGAATGACAATGTCATTTCTCAGTCTCACTGGTGCATAATAGCAGCACAGCTGTGGCTAACAAGTGTTGTGAGGGATGAGAATTTCATACAGAGGACATACATGCTCTCCTTAAATAAGGAAGAGTTAGTGCCATTTTGGGGCCTTTAGTGAACCTTAGTTAAAAATCAATATCCCTTATTTAAGGCTGTCATTTTAAATGAGGTACCACTCTGCAAAAAAAAAAAAAAAAAACACAACTACCAAACTCCACAGTGCCTCCAGCAAAGCATTTTCTTTACTGCCAACTTTTTAAATGTATAAATGCTGACTTTAGAATGATGTCTTCAACATGTTTCCTTGCTTTTTTCCTACCTTTGGTTTTAGAGGTAGAAGAGGCTGTGATAATTTCAGTGTTTTGAAGCTAATGGTGACTCCAGGCAAACCCCCCCCCCCACCCCTCCCAGATTGAGTTCCCTTTGAAAGCAGCCTCTTAGGAGAAGAGGCCAGTGTCCAGGTTTTATCAACTCTGGTTTGTAGCTGTAGCACAGCCCCGGTGGAAACCAAAAGCCTGGCCACTGAAGTATCCTCCACTCTGATGTGGTCAGAGCCTGGAAGGCAAACTGTTCTCAATAATCAAATGTTAGCACCTCCTAACCCAGACCTAAAAGCTCATCTTTTCCAACCTCTTAATTTCATTGATGGTTAGGCTTGTGAGGGTGGGGACCTAAGGATAGAATCCCCAATCACCTTTCCTTATGTCCAGAGTAAAAGTAATCCTGAACATAGGAAACCCTATGTGATAAGCAGGATTTGAGGGAGGAGATAATTATTGAATTTAAATTCCTTGGATTTCATCTACTAACAGAGATATAATTTCCCTCAGTGCCAGAGAATAGGAATAGACCTTTAGAAAGTTATATCCTGGGTATTAGTACTTACTCCCTTCTGAGGACAATAGGGAGACACATCACGCCCTTCTTCCTCCTCTTCCTCCTCTTCTTCCAGTTCTCTTGCCCCTAAGGTATTCCTTTTGTTGTTGTTCAGGCTTTTCAGTTGTGTCCAATTCTTCATGACCCCATTTGGGGTTTTTTTGGCAAAGATACTGGAGTGGTTTGCCATTTTCTTCTCCAGCTCATTTTACAGATGAGGAAACTGAGGCAAACAGCATTAAGTGACTTTCCCAGGCTCACGTAGCTAGCAAGTGTCTGAGGCCAATTTTGAACTCAGGTCCTCCTGATTCCAAGTCAGGTGCTCTATCCACTATTTCACCTAGATGCCCCTATACTATTGTAAATTGCTGTTTTAGTCCCAGTGTTATTCTACCTTCTGCAATTCCTAATCCTTTCTCTAATGACTCTGTTTCCAAAAACTCCCTACCCTGGGATATTGAGATGCAATAGCACTGTTACTAGGTTTACAGCAGTCATCTTTAGGAAAGGATCCTGACACTTAGGTGAGGTATGCACACCTTAGAGAACAAAGATCAAAGGGTATAATTTTTAAAAAACTAACCTACATTAATTACTTAATAAACATTTATTATGAGCCTTTTATGTACTAAGCATCTGCTTGGTGTAAGGGTTGCAAAAACAAAAATGCTTCAGGGGCTGGGCTAGAACCAGGGCCAATGGTCTGGGGAATTCAGCTCTTGGGCTCACCTGCCCATTAATGAAAGTTGGTAGGTGGTTAGGGTTGGTGTTGGCAAAAATGACAGGTCCCTTACACCACAAGGTTTGTCTGGAAGCTAGAGGTTGTTGCTGTTCTCAGGCCTGGACCCAGGGTCCTGGGCTTCCGGCCTTAGAATGAGAGGAAAAGTGGTCTCAGAATGGCTGCTTCTTCTCCCTCTAAGGCGCCATATTGCTTCAGTGAGGTTGGTTTTTCTGCCAGTCTACAATAATGATTAAAATAAAAGTAATAATAGTAGTAATAATTTAGGCATGTTTCATGATTCACAAAGCATTTTTCCTCACAGTGATCCTGTGGGGTGAGGAGTGCAGGTGTTATTCTCATTTTACACGTGAGGAAACTTAGACTCAGGTTAAACAACTTTTCCCTTGGCACACCATAAGTTTAAGAGAGGAGCTTTGAACCTTGGTCTCATGACCTGAAGGCCAGACCCCTTTCCCACCATACTAAGGACTCCTCACCATAGATAATAACTGTTCTTCTGAAAAGTGTGTAAATTAGATTTTTTTTAGAGATCACAGCACATTTAATTCTTTTTTTGTAAAGACTATAATAATTTTGAGATGTGAAAAATTTTTTGTGAATGTGAAAAGTCTATTTTATCTGTTTATAAAGTTGGATGTATTTTTTTGAAGTAAGACTCCATTTGTACTGGGCTTGTTTTACAAATAAAATAACATTTTTCAAATGCCTTGAATGTGCTTTAGATAAAGGTTATGGTGCAGTTGGGCTGGTAAGTAGAGAAACAATATGGCAGAGTGGGATTAGACTTAGCTTCAGAGGAGACTTGAATCTACTTCTAGTCCACTCTTCTAGCTGTGCGACCATGGATGGGCAAGGCACCTCACCTGTCTGAGGATGTCTCTTCATCTGTGAAATGGGAACCACACACGCTTACATTGCGTAGTTCACAGGGTTTTTGTGAGGAAATTGTTTTTGAAAATCTTTAAAGAACTATCCAGATGTGAGTTATTGTCATTGTCTTGGTATCTGGTTTTAAGCTGTAACATTTCCACACCAGGCAATCAGAATCCATGCAGATCTGGAATGAATGACTAATTCTCTGTATATACACACCCATTCTCTTTCTGTCTTGCAGTGACATTACGCCTCCTGGAGAACCAGTAAGCAAAAACAGTCGGACCAGAGTGGCATCCCGCTTCCCCAAGTTATCCCGGAACCATCCAAGGGAGCCTCGCAATGTGGAACCGCAGAGTGGGGACCTCTGATCCTTTTGCAAGCTCCCAGATGCTGGTGCTCTGTACTTTTCAAACTGGCCCAGTGCTTCTGACCTGTCTGAGGCAGCTGGCTCCTTAGCCTCAGAGGAAAAATCAGTCATGCTACATTAACCCTGGAAAAAGGACACCATCCACACCATGGTTTCTCACTCTGATTAAACAGGTCACCCAGAAGGCAGCATGTGCTCATTGTCCTAAAGAAAAAGGCTCCTCACCTGGAAATGCAGTAGCATGGTAACTGATTTCCCCTTGGCCGCTGCCTTTTTGCATTCAAATTTTCCTAACTGTGTCTTAAGGCAGTCTAAGATTCACTGCCCTTGGCCTCTTACAGGAGACACCTGATGCAGCTGGTGGGAGTTGCAAGGGGCACCAGGTCAAGAGACCAGATGCCTTTGTTTTTGAGGTGCACAACAGAGATTTTTCTCTTTTTCAGAAAGCTATGATTGAAAACAACCTCTGACTTTTTCCTTTGAGGGAGGAAATAGGATGACTGTTATTTTGTTTTTTCTATGTAACTGTCTGCTACTATCCATGGACTCCTCACTATCATTTGGGGGCTCTCTATATATGTTTAAAATACAGCAAGCAGTATAGTACAAGTGACCTAAATAGCTATTTCCAAGTTTCTCTTTCCTAATGGCTTGTTCCCTATGACTCCTTTGGGGAAGAGCCTGATAAGTCCAAGATTTTGTTGGCTTTTTATTTTTAAAGCAGCTCTTTTGTTTTTGCCACAGGAGTGGAGACAGCCCTAAATACACATCTTTTCCTAAATAAAACTGAACAATTTAATAAGAAAGTTAATACCAAGGTAATCCAATCTTGAATGGAATTCTGAGCCTTTTGTTAGGTCCCGTGACAGGTTGTCAACTTGGCTGTTACAGAAATCCTCTTTATTAAAACTGGAGGCTGTTTGGGCATTTTTTTGTCATTCAACATATGAAATGGGTTAGAAGTGGCAAAAAGACCTACTAGTCATTACCTTTGTAGAAAAAGAATGTCTTGTGCCTTAGGGTAACTAAAGAGGCTGAAAACTCAGTTAGGGGTTGAGTTCCTGGGCTTCCTTGCAGTGCTGAGCATCTCACTGGCTATTTAGGATGAGTTCTGAACTAAATATTTTTGGCTGTCATTATTCACCCTTCTCCCCCCCCCCCCCCCCAAAAAAAAATCATGGTTTTTTCCTCTTTTCCTTAATGTGGATGTTTACAGTAGATTTTCTGCTGCCATATTTTCATTTGGAGAGCCTCCTTGTTTTCCCATCATTGGAACATTCAGTTTAGATATCAGATTAGGGAGAAGGGGGCATTAACTCCAAAGTGATATCACCTACCTGGAATTTGGGAAGAAAGATAAGAATGTCATATGACCTCAACAGTTAGGAAAAAGGACCAAAAACATGTAAATGTAACTCCATCAACCAAACATAATGTTTGTATCATGGTGCTCTGTACTTAAGTGAGACAGCCTCGTAATGCTGTGAGTGAAGGTGATACTAGAGTGCACAAAGAATAAGTCAGTACATCCTAACAAAATCATGAAATGATCCTTCCACTGCCCTCCATACCCACTGAGATCAGTTTTAAGCTGGAAGTTTCAGAAATTAGAGATGACCCAGGAGAACACAATGGGCTGGAAAGTAGATTGTATGAAGAAAGGTGAATGGGTTTGGGGTTCTAAGATAGAAAATACCAACAGGAAGTATAATAATAATCACATAAAATATGGGGATGGTAATTATTAATTATTAGCTTGGCACTCAAGGTGTAGCCAGTTTGAACTGTAGTCAATCAGTCAGTAAACTTTTATTAAACATCTAGTATGTGCCAGGAGGCAAGATTTAGGAGAAACCTCCACCTGTTTAAAAAGGCTCTTCCTTTGTGCCACTACTAGGTATTTCTCAGTGGGCATATTGGGCCTCTTTCCTCCATAACTAAAAAAATAGTCATTTGGGATAGTTTTATTGTTGCCCTGGATGGAGGCATAGACTAATTAGCAATTATAGGAACCTTCCATTCAAGTGATTCACATAGGGATGAATTAAAGTATAGAGAAGAAATTAAAGTTGAAATTTAATTAATAAATCAAAAAACCAGAACCTGTGAAGAACATACAATAAGGAAGGAGGGGAGTGGGGGGAGGGAAGGAGAGAGAGCAAGAACCCGAACCTATCCTTGAAACAAAATATTGTCTCAATTCCCCAGCGTCTTATCTTCCCCGACAGTATCCGTAGCACATCATAGCCGAACAGGTCCAGGGGCCCCTGATCAGGAATGACAGGAGTCTCTGAATAGCCAATCATAGGAATATTTGTCCTTAGTCTCTGTGGAAGGTTACTTTGAACATCTAGCCTTGAATATGTAAGTTAAATAAACAGAGAAAGTTTAAAAGCCAAAGTGACCCTATACCTCTATGCCTTGTTTTTGGTTTACTGTATGTTGATTATGTTGAAGTTTTTCTCTGTTTAAAAAATTGATGGCTTTGTTCAGAAACTCACTTTGAAGTGGTTAAGAATCAACATCTCAGAAAAGTCCAGGTGCCAACAGGAAGGCTGGAATGTCTGTCTCCAGCTCCCATATCTAATATTACCTCTAGTGGCTAAAATACACATAGAAACCCAAATGTAGACTGACAAGCCTTTTTTTTTTCCTTCCTGTTTTTTCATGGAGTGGTTGACTTAAAATTTGCTTACAGTGTGAATCTGTGTTCATCTTCTCCAAACATCTCACCAAAATTCTCCCCCACTAAGAAAATCTGCCCATCATCAAGGAGCACAAGGAGCCAAGACAGTCAAATGCTAAACAGGGAGGGAATTACGCATGTTGCCCATATTTTTAAAACCACTGTTCTTTTTTAGCCTCACTATTCACTGGGTGATATTTTTTCTGCTCTCCCCATATTTAGATTTTTTAAAAATCATTCGCTTGATGACCCAGAGGAAAACATTCCAAACTGCACTTGCTCTACCTGTTTCAAGATCCAACTCCCTGTTTCAAGATCATGTAGAAATCCTGGAATCATCTTTAGTGTACAGATCGTCCTCAGCTAATTTTAGCTCAAAGGCACATGTGACACAAAAATTACAGCAACTACAGACAGCCTTAACTTTAGAATCATGTATAATGCGCTGCAATTATCAATCCACTTAACACTTCAGAATTTTCTCACCCATTCCCTCAAATGAAGTTGGGTGAAGTGTAAGAAAATGGGGCAAATAGGAACAGAATCAATAAATTTCTAAAGCAGCAGAGCTAAAACATAAGTTTATGTACACTGGTCACAGATCATAAGAATGCTAATGGCACTTTAGAAACTAAGGTCATAAGGCTCTATATCCTTCCCTCCCCAAAACACAATCCCAATATTTGAGGCAATACATTCACTCCTCCCCATGTCATCTTTCTCTGATGCTGTGGTCTATGATGTGAGTAGCTATTAATCATGAAAGAAAGAGGAAGGAAGGAAGGAAAAGAAAGGAAGAAAAAGAAAGAAAGACAAAAAGAAGAAAAATGTTTTATGTGAAATCCTGATGGCATATGTAAGGTTCTGAAAAGTGTTGGCGAGTTCTGGAGAAGACATAATTAGTATTCTTTTTACTGTGCCCTGATAGATGGTTATATCTATTCCACTGGACAGGTGGATAAAACTGCTCTGGCAATATTTTAAGTTCTGCCTTGCCAGAATCTGTAGAATATATAATCCAGTTAGATTGTCATCTCTTATAGAATAAACATCTCAGAGAAAGAGGGAGAGAAAATAAATACTTGTTAATTGACAAATAAAATTTTTAAAAAGTTTTTTTAAAAGGAGCATCCCCCGACTTTAGCTCTCCCAGGACCCTCAAAGGCAGCCACTTTTACAGTTCTTTGTTCAAGGACAGTAGGGATGAAGAATTAGTAATTGTTTAAAGGTTGTTATGGGCAGCCTCAGCCAAGCAACAAGTTGGCTTTTTAAGAACAAATTCCCTGTTGAAAAGGATATTGTCTTTGCAATGTAAGTTATAGATATACTAAAAAGAGATAGTTAAGGGCATTTCCTTGGCTCTGTCTACCTTGGGCTCAATAGAGAGACTATAGACCAGGGGTGGGGAACCCGCAGACTCGAGGCCACATGTGGCCCTCTAGGTTCTCACATCTGGCTGTTTGACTGAATCCAAACTTCACAGAACAAATCCCCTTAATAAAAGGATTTGTTCTGAAAAACTTGGGCTCAGTCAGAAGGCTACACCCAAGGACCTAGAAGGCCACATACCCCTGCTGTGGACCCTTCAAGGTTGGCTCTCTAAGCACATTAATCTTTTAATTCAAAGGAATTCAAGACTTTATGGAAAAAATGTCAGTACTGTACTGAATAGCATATTTTATTCATTCTCAATAAGGAAACTCTGATTTATGGGTTGTCTGATTTAGTAAAAGCAGTCCAGGGTGTGATTAGGGTCAATTATTGTCAGTCTTAGTGGGTTTTCACTTACTTGAACAAGCTACAGCACAGCATAACTGAACCTATGTAGCTGAAATTACCAATACAATTATCATCAATACTAGTAGGCATTCTTGGCCACAATTTCTAAGAATATCATCTATGGGGAGATCATTCTCGTTGTCATTGCCAGGCACATGTTCTCTGCATCAATATAAAGCAAGTCTCCTATTTAGGGAAACACACAAATACATACACACACACATAATAGCACCAACTTTGTCCACAATAAGATAATAAACTGGTAAAGAAGGCTTGACTTGACAAAACTATTAAGTTTCATGTTGTTAGATGGGTTGATGATAACTAGGCTGGTCAAATTTAGGTTTTTATTTACAAAAAAGATTGCCAGAATGTGTTGTAAACAAATGATACCGTCTTCTACGATCTAATGCAAGGCATAAATCATGGAGAGGGAATTAATATTGGCAAGTATTTGGAGGCAAGGCACAATTATAGGAAGCTTGGCCTAATTCCATAGACTGCAACTTTATTAAAATGAGTTCTTATCCTTGGCCAATTGCAGCATGAGAGCAAATTTTACTGGAAATTTTTTAGTCGTGCGTGCGTGCGTGTGTGTGTGTGTGTGTGTGTTGTAAATTAATCCCAATTTGTTTACACAGGTGAAATTTGTAAACAGGCTATTATTATGATTCAGAAGGAGCCATAGTTAGTTACCAGGCCTTGAGGCAAGAGTGAGTACTGTGGACACTGATGAATATTCACTGACAAAACTGAATGAAACAAAAATGCCTTCTTGAAAAGTCCCATTTCTTTATACAGAAGGCCATGTACAAAGCAAAATGGAGACCTGGGGTTATTCAGATTAATTAGTTTGATTCTCCTCCTGCTTAAATAGGATTGATCTATCCAGAGAGACCTGAGAATTCAATTGTGTTACCTGTGAAGTGTCAAAGGGGTGGGGGATAGGGGCAGTCTTTAGCCTTGCTAGCACTGAATTCTGTCATAGTCTTCAAGGTAGTGGATGAAAGGTAGAGTTGGGCCAGTCCCAGGCTAGTGCCATGTCTCTTTCCACACTCTCAAGCTTTGTGTTGGGACTCAGCCAATATGATTTATTACATTCTCTTCCTTTAACCCCTCCCCCCCACAACTATAGATGGCACACATTTCCGGAGTTATTTAAAGGATAAAAAAATTCTTCATATAAAGCAGCCATACCCTTACTCAGTGTAGTAACAGTCTCCCAGATTCCTTTGCTTTATTTCTCATTGACCAATGAATTTACTCAGCTTTTCAGTCATTATCTTTAGCATATGAATGCATTTCCCTTGCTGTGATCTTTTAAAAAGTTACTGTAAACTTGTAGCTGATAGTAGACGCATGGAGAATGCTCCTATGGGAATGAATTTCAATCCATAGTTGAAACTCCACCCCACCACTCTTGGGCAAATAGTAGGGCCTTTATTCAATAGCAATGATTTTGCCATTTTTCAGGGCAGAGGGTTTTCCTGCCACAATGTCCACTCTTTCCTCACCTGCCATAAGACAAACTATTAATGTCACATAACTTGGCAATTGGCATATCTAGTCAGAAATCTATGGACAACCTGTGAAATTGGGTCTCAATATATGAGCTCTTAGAAAATTGACACAAGCAGTCTTCTGCCAAAGCTTTACTCGAGTCCCACCCACAGAGCACTGAAAGTTGCTTAGCCCCCA